GAACCATTTTACTTAGCCCCATCCTAAATAGTAATACGAGGTGGGTGGGGCTTTAAAAAGTTCTTTATCTTTAAATTTTAAAATTCCATTATCTTTAAATTCCATTTTCCCATAAACCTTTTGAAGCCCCTTGGATCTGTGAAATCATGCACTGGTTTTCTGTGCCTTTTAAATGCATTTCTATAAAATACCATCAAATTCTTACCTATTTATTAAGAGACAAATATCTTAAATAGTCTCCCTCAATCTCCTTGCCACCACCAGGGGCACCACACCATGAGAAAGTCTGAGGCAAAGCAAAAACCTCACACCAGTCATTGTCCTTCCCTCGGTAGTGACACCTTCAGTGACTTTTCCCACCCATCTGTGCCTCAGTTTCCTGTGTAAGAACTGGGAATACATAATAGTTCCCTGGTTTGTTTTAAATCTCAAATGAGTTCCTATGAATGTGTTTTGAAAAGTGTTAAGACTTCACACATGCAAAAGACTCTTATCCTTATAAACAAAAGCGTTGATCAAAGTTCATGAGAATGGACTCTCCTGTTTCACTCCTACACTGGATTTTGTGTTGTTTTATGTTTGATGTTTGAGGTTGACTTTTAATATGTTATAGCAATATTGAGAAGCTGGGACGATGACATTTTCTATGAGGAATTGGCATTGGTTTATATCCTAGAAGACTGAGCTGTTAATTCTCTGTCCAATCCAGTTCAGGATTTGTTATCTGAAGACCACGGGTGCAGTCTTCCCGCCACGCCACAGTCTATTTCTGACCTGAAATCTCTGGCTACAGCCCTGTTGGAGACAATCCATGAGAAGAACATGGTCATCCAGCACCAGAGGCAAACAAACAAGTAGGTGGTGGACCCTTGGGCTGAGGGTGGGGCTAGGATCTCAGAGATGAACTGCAACCAGGTGGAAATACAGACCATAAGGGAAGGAATTAAATATCCAGTTGCCATTGAGTCACTTCTGAGTCATGGTGACCCCATGTGTATCAGTGTAGAACTGTGCTACATTTTTAATTGCTGATTTTTTGGAAGTAGATCACCAGATCTTTCTTCTGAGGTACTTCTGGGTGGACTAGAACTTGATCCTTCCGGATAGCAGGTGCGCAGTTAACCATTTATACTACCTGAGGAGTCCACCAAGGAACTGAGTCTTCTCTAACCTGGAAGGGAATGATCGTGCTGAGCTGTTCTTCTGTATTGTGACAGCATCTGGGGTAATAGCTGGAGGCAGGCATGGAAAAATACTGTCATTATTGAATACTTCTTGGATGGTGCACCGCGTCCTAATGCGCTGTCTATGGGCCATGTCAGTGTGCGACGGCCTGGGTGGCTGACTCCACTTCTCCATAGGGAAGGAGCATCCCCAGTGTGTTTTCATCTCACAGTATGACCTTCAGGGATTTTGAACTACAGGAAACACTGGAACACTGCCTTCAACAGGCAGCTGGCTCTCTAAGGAAATCTCACGCTTCTTCTTGATCCCCAAGACAGTGGTGAAAAGGACAGAAAGACAGTAATTCAAACTAAATGTCTCCTTTGGTTTTGATAAGCATCTTGGATATGTTGTGTACAACTAAACAAGTTAGAGTTGTAGTTAGGAATGACAGGAATGTGTTCAGATCTGGTCATGGGTGTGTGGCCTGGACAGGCACACAGGGGCCCATACCCAGAAGGCCGCTGCCTGGTAAGGGTCTGCCCGGTAAGGGTCTGCATGAATCCAGCCCAGGATTGATCCAGTTCTGACATCCCACTTCCCATCCACTCGCTCTCTCACTGTAGCCACTGAGCGCTAGGGCAGAGCTTACACTTAAAAGGATACTGTCCCCGGCTGGGGATACTGGACTCAGGGCAGAAGAGGAGTTGTGTGCTGGTGGCTGGGGGTGGGGGGAAGGGAGTGGACCTGTGTGGTGTAACCTTTGGGGTTATATGATGATACATGGAGGGGATTGTAACCATTGCAATGAAATGAAATACGATAGGATGAGTGTAAAGTTGATGTTCTCCCATGCAAACCTCACAATAAAAACTTAAAAATAAAAAAAAATAT